CCCCCCCAGTGAAGAGGATTTCTTACGAGACTAGCCCCAAAGTCATACGGCATCAAACAGAAGTTAGGATCCCAAGTCAGACCTGTTCATTCCAAAGTCATGCTCTGTCCTGCACTTCATTACACTGCCGGGATGAAGTTTTGGTCATTGAAGTTATAATTTACGGATAATTATTATAAAAGTACTCAACCCAAGAAATGTCCAAATTAAATCAAAGCACTCAAAGCTTTAGCAAGACACTTCCTGGCCAGTCTCATAGGCAGCGGCTACCCGAAAGCTAGAATTATCAGTCATCAAAATAGCCTATATTTGTAAACACAGAAGGCCACCATGTAAAAACCGTTATCAGACGATCTTTGACACAAAATTCTCATTATCCTTTTTTATTCCATTAATGAGAACTAGAAAATGACTACTAAAATACTATCATTGATCTTTTAAATGTAACATTTGTTCAAAGTAATGAGTCAGAAAAAAATGTTTATTGAATAAGTGAATGGACACTCCCTATCATCCAGAAAAGGCTAAATTGTACTCCACAGCTTGAGTCTACAAAGTCAAGAAGTGTTAAAATACTTAAGGGTCAGGCTGGCCCTGTTGCCTAGTGGTTAAGTTCACACGCCCCGCTTCGGCAGCCACGGGTTTGGTTCCCAGGCACAGACCTATACCACTCCTCGGCAGCCACGCTGTGGCAGCGACCCACATATAAAATAAAGGAAGACTGGCACAGATGTCAGCTCAGGGACAATCTTCCTCAAGCAAAAAGAGGAAGACGGGCAACAGATGTTAGCTCAGGGTGAATCTTCCTAAGGAAAAAAAATACTTAAAGAAAATTCCTATCAACGGAGGGAATTCTATATTCTACTCAGAATATAGAAGACTCTACCTGTTTTCTCTGCTGGCCTGAAACTGCCACAGGGGTAGGGACCATGCCTTATATAAGCAATCCATAAATGCTTCCTGAGCATGTGGATGCCTGAGGAATGACACGTTTGCACTTTAATACACTTTTCCTTTGTCTTGGGGGCCATGTTTGAGAAACAGAACAAGATCTACCATACCATAAAATATATAACTTAATAAAGGCAGTCCTATACTTTGAGAGCAAACAGCATAATTACAGATCAATACCTAACTGCTACAGTCTGAATGTCTGTGTCCCCCAAAATTCATACAGTGAAATCCTAACACTTGAAGATCATGGTATTAGGAGGTGCGGAGGTCTTTGGGAGGTGCTTAGGTCATGAGGCTGAAGTCTTCACGAACGGGATTAGTGTTCTTATAAAAGAGACCCCACAGAGATCTCCCACCCCATCTACCATGTGAGGACATAGCAAGAAGGCAGCAGCTATGAACAAGGAAGAGGGCCTTTACCAGAATGCACCCATGCTGGCACCTTGATCTTGGACTTCTCAGGCTCCAGAACTGTGAGAAATAAATTTCTGTTGTTTATAACCTACCCAGTCTGTGGTATTGTTATAGCATCCTGAACAGACCAAGACACGAATGAACAAAGGGACGTAAGCATTGGACATCAACAGGGCCAACGTGACAAAGAGAAGGACAAGCAGACACCTTGCCTCCCCATGGAACAACACAGCACTACGCGGGAAACAGCCCTGCCTCAAGAATCAAACTTGAACATGGTCAAACCGCTAGATCCAATTAGCAAGTTACAGGAAACACAAAGGACAGACGAACATATTAAATTACACAAGGAAATAACCAGCAAAATCCAGCACGGGGCCTTGAAGGAGTGAGATCCTCTAGATTACAAGAGACTTAAGAGGCATGTTGACCAACTGCAATGTAAGGATGCTATTTAGATTCTGGTTAAAAAAATGTTTTAAATCCATTTATGACCAATGGAAACTTGAACCTGATCTTGGTAAATATTAACATTATTATTTTTTGTTATAATGGTATTGTAGTTATGTTTTTAAAAGGGTCCTTAGTTCTTATAGGTACATACTGAAATATTTATGGATCAAATGATAATGATGCCGTTGATTCATTCTAAAATAATATGAGAAGACACTGACAAACGCCGGCAAAAATGTATAGAAAGAGGAACCCTCACAAATTGCTGGTGGGAATGTAAAATGGTACAGCCACTTCAGAAAGCAGTTCGGCAGTTTCTTAAAAGGTTAAATATAAATCCACCACATATCCAGAATTCTACCCCACTTCTAGGGTATCACCCCCAAAAATGAAAACATAAGTCCCCACAAAGACTTGCTCATGAATGTTTGTAGCAGCGTTATTCACAGTGGCCAAAAATGAAAACAACTCAAATGTCCAGCAACTGATGAATGGCTAAGCAAAAGGTGGTATCCACACAACGGAACAGTATTCAGCCATTAAAAGGAATGAATTACTAATACATGGCACTAACAGACAGATTTGATGAATCTCAAAAACATAAGCAAAAGAAGCCAGACACAAAAAAACACATACTGTGTGATTCCATTTCTATGAAATATCCAGAAAGGGCAAATCTATAGAGATGGAAAGTAGATTAGTGGTTGCTGGGAGCTGGGGGTGGAAATGGGAATTCACTGTCAACCAGCACAAGGGATCTTATGAGGGTGATGGAAATACTCTAGGGCTGGACTGTGGCGATAGTTGCACAACTCAGTAAATTCACTAACAATCACTGAAGTGTACACTTAAAATGGGTGAATTTTATGGTATGTAAACTATACCTCAATACAGTTGTTTTAACAAGGTACAGAATCTAAAGAAAGATCAAAAGAGAAGGAATTTGAGAAGACTGAGAAAACCAGGAGAATGCAGAAAATGTAGCATGGGATAAGAAAAGTGAATGAAAAATGAAAGACCTTGTTTCCAATTAAAAAAAAAAAGAAAGAATATGAAGAGAGAAGTGACATGTGTGGGGATGGGACAGAATTAGCCACTGTTTAATGGTTACTGAGGCTGGGTGACAGCTCCATGGGAGTACATTATACTGTTCTACTTTGGTATAGGTTTGAAATTCTCCATGATAAAAAGTTTTTAAAAAGATCAACGCATATTTCTGGCACTCAGGGATCTCTTCATGCCATTCTTGCTAGTCTAGGTCTGTAACCTCATCAAACATCCTATTTCTCTTGGTCTCAAGCGAAACAAGACAATCTAATGTTGCTGCTGTGACGAGCTCTCTTTAGGTGATTTCCATGTCCTTGGGTAAGAAGTTAGAATGTTTGAGAGAAAAGAAACAGGGGGCCGGCCCCATGGCCGAGTGGTTAAGTTTGCACGCTCTGCTGCGGTGGCCCAGGGTTTTGCTGGTTTGGATCCTGGGCGCAGACATGGCACCACTCATCAGGCCATGCTGAGGTGGCGTCCCACATGCCACAACTAGAAGGACCCACGACTAAAAATACACAACTATGTACCAGCAGGCTTTGGGGAGAAAAAGGAAAAGTAAAATCTTTAAAAAAGAGAGAGAAAAGAAACAATCACAGTACTGACTATGGAGTTGGCACCACAGTACTTATCAAACAACTTACAAAGATGAAAAATACTAAGAGACTTAGCACAATAGGGAAAAATCAACCACCAGAATTACATCAGTTCAGTTTGCTTCTACCACTTAGGCCAGCAGACATCTTCATCTCTACCTATACTGTCAGTATTTACCTAATGATGCCAGCCACCTGACATTTTAATTCTAGAAATGTACAGAGAGCACTGTACTGGGAGCCAAGAGACATGATCCAGTGTGTCCTACTATTAGCTTTGTTTCAAATTTATAAGCTATATGAACTCAGTTACATAACTTAATGTAAGACTCAGGATCTTATACTATAAAATGAAAGAATTTTAAAGATCAGGAGTTCTTGACTTGGAGTCATAAGCTTGGGAGCTAGGGTCTATGGCTAAGTTTCAGCAAGATTATAAAGTCCTAAAAATGCCAAGAAAATTTTGCCTACATTTCTATCTGCACGTTTTTGGGGAGACGTTCCATAGTTTTCAGCAGTTTCTGAAAAGGAGCTAAGACTCATCTAGCTCCCTGGTGCTGAAAACCATCTCAATCAGGTAATTTTTGTTTACAAACAAGTGATACCCCAAAGTATGATGCATGGGTCTGGCTAGACTTTTTAAGCCAGGTTCTGTATTCTTTAAGCTCTACGTTTACAAAAATACAATGTTTCACGGTTTGTTAATGTGTTTTAATAAGGCAAATTTTCTACAATCCCACAACTTCTTAGAAAATGATGCATCATGAAAATAATGTACAAGGCTTTGGGTCATAAAGATTTATTTTTCTACTCCCCAGATACGTTAACCTGCTGAACCGCCTGGAGGCACGTTTTGGTCTTAGATGACTTTTAGTTGTGAGTTATAATGCAAGATCGAAAGGATCGTTCTAGGCGTATCATAAATCTCTTTTCCTAGGCAGACAATGACAGGAGCCAGGCAGAAGAAGGCAGGCCCTCTAATTAGAAACATATTTTTAAGCCTGGTTTTAAGTTCTCGGTCACGTATTTCAAGCGAGATTTGAAATTCCTCCCGGACGTCCACCCTTTGGTCAGTCTACACAGCGCCCTAAGCTGAACTGGGAAACTGAGGCCAAGGTTCCGTGTACTTTCACGGGGCACGAGGGGATGGAGGAGTGGAGACCGCGAAAAAGCGACGTCGAGGATAAAAGTTGGAGGCGAGAAGGGAGGGGGAAGAGCAGCTGCCTATCGGCGAGGAGCCTAGGGAAGCCTGCAGGGATTGCAGGCTGGGGCTCCCGAGTCCTTCGGTGTTACGCCGCAGGTCAGCTCCTTCCCCTTTCTCAGCTCGAATCTTTTGCCCCTTCCAGACAGCCCGAGGACCCCCGCCACTCCCTCAGTTCCCAAAAGACCTCTCTCAGGAAGAGGCCATGCCCGCGGGGGCGAGCAAGCGGGCCCAATCGATCCGAGACCCCTCCTGGGCCAAAGTTGCCCCAAGCCCCGAGGGAGCAGCCTCGGCCTCCGCCCCCCGGCCCGGCCCTGCTCGGCCCTCGGCGGCCTTACCTTGAGCGCCAGGTGGTGGACGCGGCCCAGGCCGGGCTCGGCCAGCAGCTGCAGCAGTCCCAGGAGCGGGAGCAGCCGGAGGCCAGCGGTCAGCCGCGGCCAGCGGGAGCCTGAGAGGCCGCCAGCGGCCGGAGCGGCCATGTTTGTTCCAGCATCACCAGCCGCTTCCTCTCCCGCCCACTTCCGGGGTCAAAGGGCAGCGGCGCCGGAAGAGCCTGGCAGAAGGGCTTGGCGGCCCGCGGCGCGGGGACAGTGGTCATTCTCGTGGAGGGTGCGCCCCGGGAAGTCGCCGAGGGGCCCAAGCTGGCCGTCGAGTGGCCGTTCAGTTGGCCTCCCCCGTGCGGACTCTGGTTAGCCAGAACCCCCCGCGGGGACCCTGTGATCGCTGCCATGGCAACCGTCCTGGGCAGGGCCGGCCGGGGCGTCTCCTCCGACCCGCCGTGCTTTGAAAGCGCCCGTGGGCCTGCGGGACCCGGACCCCGGGGGGACCCGGCTCTCCGGGTCGGGGATGTCTCACCCTGTGGCTGCAGCGCCGGGCCTGGCCGTTGTTTGCACGAGCGGCGTTGACTTGGTGAAAAATAGCAAGTTCACGGCTTGTCATAGGTCCTTTGGGTTTTTTGAGGCGCTTCATACTAAAGTTTCAGACGAAGTGGTTGTAGTAATACGATTTCTCGAGCTTAGCTGGCGCTTCGTTACGCCTTTTGTGTGCGTTATTGCATTTAATCCTTGGAACAGTCTGGTGAGGTAGGAGGTAGGTGTTAACCATTATCCCCACTTAACAGGTAAGCAGACTGAGGCTCTGAGTCATTTTTTCCGGGTTGAGCTGGACATCACGTGGAAACTTCTAAATACTGTGTTATATTGCTTCCTGCCGTTCGTGGGACCACTAGAGGATGAGTGGAAACTTTCTTTGCTTCTAATCTGTGGAATTTATAGGGAGATCTTTAATGGGGGGATTCCTTGCACTATGCCACACATGGCTTTCTAATTCTTTAATTTTTCAAAAGATTCCATTATCTTCAAAAAATTTTTCAAAATAAAATCCCAGCGTCTGAGTAACCAATGTGTTATCAAATGAGAAATTTTCAGAAAGCATTTTAAAAATCAGCACTGTGAAAGAACATAATAGGAATGTAAAATAAGTGATATTTTTCTTTTAGGTGTCAAGAGGAAATACCACAGACAGTTGACCGATTCTTACTTTAGTAAGAAACTAGTCATTAAAGGGAAAGGTGACTTTCAAGTGTAGTTTCCTTTTCAAAGGTAGCTTGCAATGCTTTGGTGTGTTTTTATTGTTTACTTTTTAAAGTTAGATGCCCTTTTTGAGAATCTCTGGTTTTCAACTTGAATGTAATAGACTTCTAAAAACAGAATGATCAGGAAGCGTCTTAATTTCATTTAATAACATAATAGTGATGAAACATTTAAGTAGTTTATAAAATAGAAGACTTTTGTCTTTTAGTTTCTGGAAAACAGTTTTACAAGCACTTAAACTTGGGTTCTTATTGCTTGCTTCTTTTCCCTTGGGAACTATTAGGTGACCTTCACAGAGGTTTAAACCGTCTCCCAGAGGTCGATGAAGAATAGCTTCCTTCAGGCCTTTGAGAACCACATTGTACCAGTCATTAGTTTGGAATTGAAAGAAATAAGAATGGAAACACTAATGACAAAGGCTTAAAGTGAAGCATTTTTTAGACACTTTTCAAATTCTGTGAAAACTACTGTCTTGGCAATTATGTTGGCACATGATTTCTGAGTTTCAAGAAAAGGTTATTTGCATAACCATGATGCTGTAACTAGAAACAGACCTGGTCAGTAACAGAACAAGTTATGCTTGCTTCTCCCTGGCAGCATTCTCAAAGGGGCATTAAACTTTAAGGTATTGACTGAAAAGGCCTGGAGGGGCTGGAAAGACTGATGTCCTAAATCTGGCTTTTAGCCTTACTCTGTCGGTCAAGTGCATTTTATTTTTCTATTTCTTCTAACTTTTCAGGATCCACTGAAGGTTGTCACTAGTAACAGAATTTGTAATTTGAACCTAGTGTGATTAATAACGTTTGGCATCAGTGTAGAAATTTCCAGAAATCTTTTAAGTAATTAATGGATTAATATTCTCTAGTTGTAGTAAGATGTAGTTGCTATTTGTTTTTCTTATCAAAAGAGTTGATATTTTAGACCAAAAACCTCTATAAAGACAGTATAGAGAACTAGAGGTCAAACTGGGACCTGGGAAGGGCTGTCCTGGTGGCGCAGCGGTTAAGTTCATGTATTCCGCTTCAGCGCCCGGGTTGGCTGGTTGGAGCCGGGTATGAACCTATGCACCGCTTGGCAAGCCATGCTGTGGCAGGCGTCCCATGTGTAAAGTAGAGGAAGATGGGCACGGATGTTAGCTCAGGGCCAGTCTTCCTCAGCAAAAAGAGGAGGATTGGCAGCAGATGTTAGCTCAGGGCTGATCTTCCAAAAACAAGAAAAAAATTGAGACCTAGCAATACATTCAGAAGTCAAATATCACTTTCGTTCTTTGACTTCAAACGTCATGTCTTGGGGCCAGGGGGGAGCCCATGGCCTCTTGCAGAGAGTGATCTTCATGGAAAAGCTCGGCCCTGACACGTGTTAAATCCTACGGGTTCGAGAAAAGCTTCCAGTTCACGTCTCCTCACCTTGGTGGCACAATGTGTGATTTGCTTGGCCACAGGACAGCTGTTTTTTTCTGATTTTATGCACATCTTTATACCCTTTCAGGGAATTCCATTATCGGGTGCAAAAATTGGTTGCCGTTTTAAGATTCTACTCACCATAAAGTTCCTACTTTTATCCCACTCCAACTTTTTCCACTTGACTGCCTTCTTGACTAAGTAGTTTGAATGCTAAACAGATGGAGCATTTTAAGCTAGAAACCAATGGAAGCTACTTTAAATTAAAAAAAATTCCTGAGAATTTCAGTAGGAATAGTGCTTCACCAATAGATAACCAATCAATTGTAGTTCGGGCAAGCTGTCTGGCTGCATCAGAAGTGCTTAAATGATTGCTTTTCTTGATATAATAAATAAAAATTCTCCAGAAAACAAGCTGAAAGGAAAGGGAACCGATACTTGTGCCCTTACACGCTAAGCATTTTACATGTATTCTTTCTTTTACTCTTCGCAGTAACCTTTGAAGTCAGAGCATTATTTCCATCTTACAGAGGAGGAAACAGGCTTGGAGAAGGAAAATAATTGATCCAAAGCTCTGCAGGCTCTGTGCAGGGCTGTCCAAATCTGGCTGACACTGAATCCATGCCCCCCACCAGCTCCCTCATTTCACAAATGAAGAAACCGTCGTGCAGAAGAGTGTAAATAACTTGCCAAAGGCCACACACCTAATAAGTAGTGGAACACTAGGGTCTCAATTTAACAATTACAAAACCTGTCTCCTTTAAAAGATAAGACGGGGGCCGGCCCAGTGGCACAGCGGTTAAGTGCGCATGTTCCACTTTGCCAGCCTGGGGTTTGCCGGTTCAGATCCTGGGTGTGGACATGGCACCACTTGGCGTGCCATGCTGTGGTAGGCGTCCCACATATAATGTAGAGGAAGATGGGCATGGATGTGAGCTCAGGGCCAGTCTCTCAGCAAAAAGAGGAGGATTACCAGCAGTTAGCTCAGGGCTAATCTTCCTTAAAAAACCAAAACAACAAAAAAAGATAAGATAGATACAGATAGATAGATAGAGGTATCTATATATATAAGCCCCTGAATTAGATGTTTATTAATTGCAAAGAGCATTAGAATTGCCAAAAAGCCTTAATAGAATGGTTTACCTCTAACTACACAGCAACCTATACAGGGTCTCTCTTTGTCTAGATACCTTATTTCAGTGCTAATAACGTCCTTGTGATCAGATTAGTCAGTGGAAATTTATATACTCACTCACCAAGATCATAATTGTGGGTTCTCGAGATGTTACTGAGAGGTGAAACAGGTGTACATAACCCAGACTGACTCCCTACGTCATTCAAGCATTTACATAGACAGGGTTTAGAATACCTCTTGTGAAAATTGATTGCTAAGTAGGTCAGGTCACAGTAATTTGTTAATAGTGAGAACTCCTCTTCTTAGAATTGCTGCCTCTTACTATAAGGGAGACTGAAATGGATTTAGTTTTTCCAAAAGAGAACTGTGCTGTATTTATCTTTTTCTCTGCTGGTTTATTTCTCCTTATTTTCAATCCTATTTGTTTCCATTGCTTTAAGATCAATGGCATCTTTTCCCTTTTTTTTTTTTTTGAAGATTCTAACATTTTCAATCTTTTTCCAGTTAGCACCCAAACTTAATGAAGTTAAAGATATTTGCAGTGTGATCAAATTAACCCAGTTTCATATAGATCTGCTGCTGTGGCTTTTAATGGGTTCCTATGACTATTTCCTGCTTACTCATCTCAAAAATTTCCGTCTTCATGTGGTCTCTTTTTTCCTTCTGTCCCTTCCTCTTCTTTACAGCAGCAGGTGGTTTTCCTCCTGATTAGCTTACTCGCACAAGTGGACACTGTTTTTGAGAAGTCTCCAAGAACTCAGTCAAGATTAGATCACTGTATTTGACTGAAAAAATATTCAAGCCTTGGCAGGAAGGGAAATTGAGGTGGTTACTGAGGCAAGGTCTTTTTAGATAACCTGCGTTTTCACTTACTGTTTCCAAACAGCAAACTAAACTGTGTGGCGTTGTTTGAATTTCTAACCCCTCCAAATCCTCTGGCTATTAACCTGCCTTGGGATGTAGGTGGCTGGCCATTCTGATCGCTGTGTATGTAGCCGGCTCTGGAGTAAAGAATTCCCAGACCTGGTAACTGTGAGAGCACAATATTTAAGCACACACACTAATCGAGGGGGGGGAGGGGAACTTGAAACTGAAAAAAGACAGACCAAAACAGTTTTGACAGTTTAAATTTATTGTAACTCTGTCCAACAAAGGAAGTCGACTTGGTCTATCGGCAGGGGTTTTTCAGCTCCACCCTTTCATGGAGGAGAATGATAAGCTGGTTGAAGCTGGGGTGTTTGGCTTGGAGAGAGGCGTCATTGTGAATGTTTCTAAAATAGGGCCCATTTTTGGAGTCCACAGTTATTCCGAAAAGTCAGTAGCATTAACTGAGGGAGAGAGAAAAGTTGGGGAGAAAGGGCCCAGTGGTTCAGAGGAGAGTTGGAACTCCG